ATCTTTGTAGGACTAACAACACAGTGTTTGTCCTTCCGGGGTACTATGGGTGTCCTTTTCTCTTGCTGTTCCCTTCCCTCCAGAGAGGGAAGACTGTATAGAATTGTTGGATCTTTTATAAGTATCCCTGAGACCAGGCTCTGGCAGAATAAATGTGCTTCCTCTCCCACCTGAGAGTGAGATGGGTTTGCTTTTCCAAACCTGAAAGTTTCATAATGTTTTCTGTATGATAACCTCTAGCTTGGTGCTTTTCATATGCAATAGTCTTGCCCAGCTAGTATACTTATTGATTTGTTTAATTGTTATTTTTCTCATATATATTTTGTTTATTTATCAGAAGTTTCCGAGGGAAGCAGATATGACAAATGCTGCTTGACCTTGGTAACACAGATGCTGCCAAAGTTTCCCAAGACCACGTCTCGCTTTAGTCACTTGACAAGTAATGACAGGATTCAGTACAGCTACCTGTGTCTGTCCTTTTGGGGACACTAAGTGTTTAGGGTGTGTCCTCATCAGTCATAGATACAGATCTGATGTGACAGTTTAACTATGGGCAATCAGGCCTTGGAGAAATGGATCACCAACCAAATGCATAGGAATTAGGTAAATAAAATGAGAAATTAAATTCAAATTGAATAAACTGACAGGTAGTTAGAGATACTCTGACCCGAATGCCTCATTCCTCTCCTGGGGACACTGCAGAAGGATCCACATACTTGGTACCAACTCTGGAGCCCCCGGGCAATGTTGACAGCACACTGAGAAATCCCCACCACTTACCTTCCAGAAATGTTTCTGACACATCACCACCTCTGGATTTTTTTTAAAAGACAAATTCAATTAATCGTGTCACCGCTCATCTTGTATTTTTCATATTTGTTCACTTGTGGAAGTTGGGAAGATACTTCACTATGGGAGTTCTTCCACTTTTTGTATGTGCAAATGGCCAAAAAATATATATATATATATATATGGAAGAACGTTCAATATCTCTAGCAATCAGGGAAATGCAAATCAAAGCTACACTGTGATTTCATCTCACTTTAGTCAGAATGGCAAATATCAAGAATACAAATAATAATAAATGCTGGCAAGCAGATGGGGAAAAAGGTACACTTATACATGGCTGGTGGGACTGTAAATTAAGGCAACCACTCTGGAAAGTAGTATGGAGAGTCCTCACAAAACTGAGAATAGAACCATTGTAATGACCCAGCTATCCCACTCCTTGGTATTTATTCAAAAGGACTAAAATCAGAATACTATAGAGATACAACCATATCAATGTTTATAGCAGCATAATTCACCATAGCCAAGATATGGAACCAACCCAGGTGCCTAGATGGATAGATTAGGAAAATGTGGTGTATACACACGGTGGAGTTTTATTCAACCATAAACAAGAATGAAATTATGGCGTTTTTGTTGGTAAATGGATGAAACTGGAGAACATTATGCTGAGTGAAATAGGCCAGACTATGACCATCAAGGGTTGAATGTTTTCTCTCATATGTGGAAGCTAGAGCCAAGTAAGGAGGAACAAAGAGGGGTATTATATATGGTAAAGACAGAGAGGAGATCAGTGGAGTAGAATGAGATTGAAGGGGAAAGAGAAGGGGTGGGAAAGGGGAGGAAATGCAGAATGAATTAGGCAAAATTAAACTAAGTGCATGTCCACATATACCGCAGTGAACTATATCTCCATGTGTATCTGTACAGCAGCAATTTAAAATTTTATATATAAAATGAATGGAAGATAGACCAGTAGAGTAAAAGAATGGGAGTAGATGGAGAAGGAGGGAAGGAAAGGGGTGGGGGTCTGAAAAGGAGTAAATTAAATTCCATGCATGTATGATTATGTCAAAATGAACCCAACGATTATACAGGACTGTGATGCATCAATAAAAGTCAAGAAATTATTTATTTTGTGTGTGGCACCTCTTGGAGTCTGGTGGAAACTGCTCTCCCAGTTGAGTGGCCCAGTGTGTATCCATTCCAATACAAGCACAGAGTCCAGAGGGTTCTTCTGCGGACCCCCATCTCTCCCAGTCTAACTCTTTTTATGCTTTGTGGCAAGATATTTATCACTGGTAAATGATCCATAAGAAAAATCGCATACTAAAAATTTTGAGAATTTGTCAGTTTAAACTGAGATTCAGTCTCTGTTCTCAGAATGAATAAATCTAATGAGTTATATTTGAATGTTAATGCTTTATTTTTAATATTGGCAATTTATAATCGACAACAGTTGACAGTGCCGTAAGTGGATGGCTGAGAATAGTGCACTCGACTGGCATATTTCTATTTTTTGATTTCTCTAGTTTGCTTGCTGTAATGTCAGAAACGTCTAAGGAAGAAGAGAGCCAGAATTTAGCTTGGGTGGCTGCATTGCACATAATACAATTAACTGACATTCGATGCAGGCTCACCTGATCCCAGGCCCTGTGTGTGCTTTAACAGGCGCCATGTTTTATTTCATTTTACCCCTCCAACAGCCTATGAGCAGGGAGTGCAAGCTCCACCGAGCAGGGATTTGCGCTTGTTTTCTTTGCACGTGATCCTCATTTCAAGTAGACCCCCTGGCTCAAGGAGGTATTGTGGAGACGTTTTTGTTGAATAAATGAATCTTTCCAGTGAAAGTAAGGCTGGGAGAGTTTGAGGGATTTACAGAAAGCCAAACAATAAATAAGTGCTAGAGCAATGTCCAAATCCAGACTCAAGTGCTTAACCACCAGGTCATAGCTCCTGTAACTAGGCCATGAGAACAGTGGCCCCAGCTCTTCCTTCTGTGGTGCTCAATTCCCCTGGCCTGGGATGCACTGTGTCTTTAGATCTTCCTACTGTTAGATCAGATGCCATCACCTGAGGTGAGGAAACTGAGGGTGGAGGGTTGAGCAAGGGTCTACAGCTAGGGTGGTGCCCAGAAATAGAACTAAGCTAGGCCAGGTTAGCGCACCTTCATGAGAAGAGAAGGGAAGGTTTTGATAGTTGAATCCAATCTGCCAGGAGCTGGGACAACAAAGAGCCAATTTGGTTTCTCTGATCCATGAATGCTGGTCATCTTCAAGCCCTTGGTTTCAATAATGTTGAAGTTCTCCCTTATGACCACACTTACCTCCTGCTTTCCACATACACCTACAAGCTAATACCTCCAAAATCTGTGTCCCAGAATCTGTCCCTTGAGGCACAGTCTCATATTTCTAGACAGCGCCTAGGGATGTTTCTTATTTGAGTGACACGCAGTCATTGCAACTCCTCCTGTCCCCTGTTGAACTTATTATAAAATATTTGGTCTCTTTACACTCTGTCACCAAGTTTAACCCCAACCTACATTTGCTACTGATGCCAACCACATCCCTCCAGGCTTCCAAAATTAAATCACCGATTCTCCACTCATCCAAATAGTTGCCAAGGCTTGCTCAGTTCACCTCCAAATATCGCCCACACCTCTGCACCTCCAGGGCCTGGACTAATCCAGGCTGTTTTCAACTCCTGCAGATATATTGCAAGGATCCTAACCAGTGAATCTGTTATGCAAATATCCTCTCCTCACCTGACCTCCATATACCGCATTCCACAAACAATCTGACCAAGCCTCAGACTGAAAGACCATGGCTGGGGTCTGGGTTTCTGCATAACAGAGTTTAAGTCCCACTTTTGGGATTTCTTGCAACAGTCCCCAAATACCTTACCAGACACCGTGGACCCTGACTTGGGTTTGCTCTAGACTCCTGGGTGTCACTGTCTTTTTGTGTCTTATTTCTGTTTCCTTCTCTTTTGCCATTTGCTTTCCTTTACAATTCCTTTTCCTTTGCTCTTTGAGATTAAGCCCAAATATCAGCTTCTCAGTGCAAAGCTTTCCCTATGCAGATATAAGCATTCTCTCCAGTATTTGCTGAAAGTTCTTTTTACACACAGACACATACACACACATGCATGAACAGTCATATGTGATTTAACGACGGGGATATATTCTCAGAAATGCCTTGTTTGGTGATTTCATCATTGTGCACACATCAGAGAGTATACTTAGGCAAACCTATTGTACCCCCAGGTTATGTTACCTACCATACATATGTGGTCCATCAATGACTGAAATGTCATCATGTGGCGTATGGCTCTATGTATGTGTGTGTGCAGTTTTTAATCACTCATGTCATTGGAACTGCTATTTTATAAGTCAATTTCTTTTCTTTTTTTTCTCTTGCTTCTGTTTCTTGATATGTCTAGACATATTTTTCTTAATACTGTGCATTTTATAGAAGTCATAGAGGTTCTGGATTGCCTCATCCTACTCCGAGAGAGTCCTGTCTGTCATCTGGAGGAC